CTAAAATGCCCATTTTCTCAATGATCCAGAAGATCCACTGCTGGGCCACTGTCCTGGAGAAACACTCATCTGTGATGTAAAGGACATACGCCCAGGGATGTTGGCAATGGGAAGAACTAAGAACAAGCTAAACTCCTGTCAGCAACACAAGGGACACGTGTGTCCCAGCCTGTTCATCCACTACGGTAAAGTGCAGCAGTGAAAAAGACTGAATCCGGCTCTGTTAAGGCTATTTATTTTTCCTTTTTAAATAGAGATAGCGTCTCACTATGTTGCCCAGGTTGGTCTCCAACTCCTGGACTCAAGCAATCCACCTGCCTCAGCCTCCCAAAGTGCTGGGATGACAGACGTGAGCCAGTGCTCCCGGTCAGGAAATATTTCTTGAAAGAAAGAGTGAGAGAGTACCTCGTGTGTCCCCAGTACCGAGCCTGGCACCGCGCATGCGGAAAAGCTCCAGACAAGCTTCCTGCCTTTATGGAACTCACAAAGTAGGCTGGGCTACTAGGCACTAAGACAACTCACTGTCATACAGTAGTTACTCACCACTCCTTCACAAGAAAGGGTCACTCACCCCTACCACCAAACTTAGGAACGGCCACATGCTGTTCAAAGGGTCAACCCAGGTGCCTTTCATTGTCCTCAAATGATGGCGGGTGGGCACTCAGAGAAGACTGAAAGCTCAAGGCTGGGGCACTGGGCCAGCCGGGGCTTCCCAACAGGCCCCCACCCTGAGTCCCACACAAGAGCCCGTAATCACCCCTACAGGAAGAAACAAGCCAGGCCCAGCAGCCCTGGTAGGTATGGCTGGGCCCTCCCCCTGGTCCGTAAGAGGCCAGCCTATGCCATCCCCACTGAGACGGCCCCACTCGGGCCAAATTTGTAGGAAAGGGGCCGGGAATCTGTGCAGACCGGGGGAGATGGTTCTCATCATACAGGTGAGAGAGGATGCCAACCTGGGCTGGGGAGGGAGGAGAGTACACGTTGAGGGAAACTGATCAGATGGAAGGGGAGACGACAGACTGTAGGGCCATGGAAATGCGTGCCTCCAAGACAGAGATCGAAGGAGAGGGAAGCCATTCTGGGATTGGGGGGTGGATAGGCAGCGAGGTCGGCAGGGGGCAGGTTGGGTTGGAAGTACCTACAGGCCATCCAAGCTGACGTGACCGTACTGGTTTGAAACTCTGGAATTCAAGCAAAGAGATCTTTTCTTAACTTTAATTCTATGGCCCTCTTTGAATATAGGCATCCTGGCCTGGTCACCTCTGAAGCTTCACCATCCCAGATGATGCCTAGTATGATTTTGAATACATGTCATCCATTCCAAAAAACTCTTCTCTGATTCGGAAACACGAAGGCTATCACTGACAGCACGTGTGGACCAGGACCGGCCCTCTGGAGACGAGGGGCTGTTACGGGCCCCGGTATGTTTTTTGTTTAAGCGCACGTGTGTTCTTCATGAGTACCTCCAAGGTGCAGAAGAGAAAAACACCTCGTTGTGTAACAGTGGCAAGATGCTGAGGAAGCAAACTATCAACAGCTCTCTGGAGGAAAAACTTTCGGGGTAGGATGAACTCTGTGTGTGGAATTTGGAAAGGATTGCTTTTTGGAAGCGGCTAAAAGCCACAGAGACGACCGGAGAGCCATGTGGCCTTGTCCCGGTGGTGACTAGCGTGGGCGCCAAGGCTCGGTGACTTCAGGGACTTCCTCACAGCACCGTCCTCCTCATTGCCTCAAGTAAAGGTACCAATTAGAACAAGTTTCAGAGGAAAATTACAGCCTCCAGTGAATTGAACAGGCTAATTTAAACTTTGGCAAACTGGTTCGCTCCGGAGCTAATTAGAAATTTCCCTCAACAACAAGTCATGAATAACTTTCTTAATTGCTTTCTGCTAATGAATGTGATACATGTTCACTGTAAAAGAAGAGGAAATATGGGCAAGTTTGGAAGAGAAAATAAAACCCAACCGTTATCTCACCGACAAAGTTAAGGACAATGAAAATGTGACGTGTTTCTGGATAAGTGAGCTAATTCTTGTCTAGTGCTTACAACAGTGGCTGGAACATGGCAATGTTGATGACCAACAAATGTTATTGGTCATTACTGTTCTCATCGCTAGTAGGCTTAGAAGTCTTTTCCCTTCCAACAATCAAACAAAGTTCGTCTCAATTTTCTTCCAGCGTTTTTAGTTTTATTGTGTATGTCTTAGGTCAATACATTCTCAACACTTCAGATACTATAGAAATATTTCTCTATATACCATTCCCTCCCGTGCCGCTACTGAGATACGTAAGGGCAGCCTGAGAAGTCGGCATTCCTTTGTCCACTCCCATTTCTGTGCATTCGTTCATTGCATTCACTCCACACCCAGCTGGACCTCAGAGTTGTCCTTCGCAGGGTGAGAGACTAAGACATTTATCCAGTGACTTTTGGCTGCATCGGTGGGGGCGCTGTGTCCAAGGGTACAGATTCCCCTGAGCTTCCAGGCACACCCTGTACAGAGCACAGGAAAAGAAGGAGATGTGCCGGGAGCTGCAGGAGGGGGCGCTGGCACAGGGCACAGAGGTGCCCACCCCAGCAGCTGAGAGCCAGAAGGCACGTGCAGGGGGGCCCAGAGGCTCGGCAGGATCTGAGATGTGAGAAGATGTCTGCAAACACAGAGGCGCAGGAAGAGGCTGGAGATGACGTTGACTGGAGGGGCTCCGAGAGGTGCACAGAAAGCAGGACAGAGCTTGGTAGAAGCAGCACTCATTTGTCACCCTGCCACACACAGCCTGTGTTTTCTCCTTGACGGCCCCATCTCAGTAAGACCCAATATTGCCAATGCCTGGAGACCCCCGTGGACAACTGTCCTCAGCCTCCACATCCAGTCCTCCCCAACACCTGGGGCTCGGACCTGCTAAGGAGCTCTTTGCTGTTTTCTAGACACCTCTGGAATCCCTTCACCCACCCTTCCCCACCCATGTGGCTGCTCTCCAGCGCACTCTCTTCCTGCTCTCCCCAAGAACCTCGGCTCCAGGGGAACGAGGCTTTCCCTGGTCTGCTGCCTCCCCTGTTCCCTTCCCAGTCCCCAGAAGGGGGCCAACCCCAGCCACAGAGGCCCCCAGAGCAGAGCCTTGCCTGCCGCAGCAGCTCCAGCTGGAGGAGGTTCCCCCTACCTCCTGCACCGTGACCCCTTCTCCGGGCAGCAGAGGCAGAAGCAGGAGGCCGCTTTGGAAAATGACGTGTTTTTATTGCTACGTCTGCACTGGCTTTTTAGCACAGTAAGAAAGTCCCCACAGTCCCGCCGCCCTCTGCCAGCCCCAGCCCTCCAGCCTCTGACCGGGTGCGGGGGAAGCCTTTCTCGGGTCACTCAGCTGTCTCGGGACTGGACGTGACACAGACATACGTGGGTTAGAGCTGCTGCACGTAAGACTGGAGGCGTGGGAAGTGCAACTGCCTTAAGCCTGGAGGTGGGAGCCGTGCCCAGGGTCACTTCCTGGAGGCTGTGCCTGTTACCGACATACCAAGGGTTTGGTCTGAGTCCTGCTGCTGGCCGCACAGAAATCCAATGACTGGGATGAAGAGAATTGCCAGGGAAGACAGCTTTAATCGGGTGCTGCAGCCAGGGAGACGAGAGCTCAGTCTCAAATCCATCTCCCTTGACTGACTAAAACTAGGGGTTTATATAGCAGGGAAGAAATGCACCAATGTGTAGGGAAACAGGAAACTCAGGAGGGCCCAGAAAGCAATACTGATGAATGAGGGGGTCCAGCATCTCATTGCCTGGATGTGGTGATCTGCTTTGATACTTTGAGAGGCCTGAAGCTCATTTCTGGAGGAAGGAATTCAGATAAAACAACTGTGAGGTTCACGCTTGAAGACCAGAAGGGTCGGTTTCTATGTTAATCAAAAAGAACAGCCTATGGGTTGTTCCAAGAAACCCAAACGACTGAATGGGTTTCATACCCAGCCCAGGGTGCAGGGTGTGAGAAGCCTGAACCGGCCTGGTGAGCAGCCCAGACACTGGGGACGGAGGACTGCAGCCTCTCGCCCCACGGACTTTTCAACAGGGTGTGGGGACAGACACCCAGCTCCTAGGTCCATGCCACCCCCACCCCTGCCCACCTCTCTTGGCACCTTTCCTGTGGCTCTGACCCCCTTCCAGACACAGAGGTAGGCCAGCACCCGGCAGGCCAGCAGACCACAGGGTCACCTCCCAGCTAAGGTCCTCCCAGCAACTGTGGCCCCACAGGCAACCTCGAGACTTTGTTCCTAGGGGAGAAAGAGAGGGAGGGAGAGAGGGAAACCCCATGTGGCATGTGGCTGGGAGAGGATGGAGCTATGGGGCCCGCACCAAGGGGTTCTGGATCCCTTCCCTCCCCCAGCCCCGGTGCCGCTGTTTCCTCCCATCCACATGGGCTGGACGTGAGGCAGGGGAGCCCCTGGACGACAAGAGGCCACCCCCGACCCACCCAACCTGCAGCTCCAGCTCCCTTAACAGGTGGGGCGCTGCTGAACACAGAGGCCCAGCCCCAGGGTCTGTCCTGGGCGCTCCCCAAGGACAGGCAGGGCAAGCAGGGTCCAGGACGATGGCCACACAGCCCTGGCCCGAGTCCCCAGGACTGTCTTGCTCAACGACGTGAGGGAGACCGGGGGAGTGGTGGTCGGGACAGGCTGGGCCCCAAGGTGCCTGACTCCCTGCAGGGCTCCTGGGACAGAGGCCTGGTGGACACAGCAAGCTGCTCAGGGGTGAGGGTGTCCAGGCTGGCATCGACGCCACCTTCTGGCCGGGGCTCTCTTGGGGTGGGGCGGGCTTGGTGAGAACCAGTCATGTGCTCCCGGGCTCGTCCGGGGTCTCCCAGGGCCGGAAGCAGGAACCCCTGTGCGCAGGCGCCCTGAGGCTCCCGGGCTGCCCATCTCATGCCAGGGGGCGGAACTTCCTGCAACCTCACCCTCTCCGCGTCCTCGTCCTCGTGGGCCCCGACTTTCTCTCTGAGCGTGGCACACCGGCCCAGGGGCCATGCAGGCCGGAGACCAGGCCGCAGGGGGCGCAGCGGGCGATGCTGATGGTCCAGGAGGCCCAGGACCAAAGCATGGACAGCTCTTCCGATCTGTACATGAGTTGGTAAGGGCTCCCCAAGGCTCAGGGGCAGCAAGGGCCTCGGGGCCGGAAGGAGGTGACCCTCAGGGGCCACGTGGCGGCGCGGCTTCTGCCCAGAATGGAAGCTGCCCGTCTGGGGCTAGGGGGTCAGACAGCCATCTGCTTCAGTTGTATCCTGTTCTGTTCTGTTCTGTTCTGTTCTGACAGTGCTGGTGGCAGGATGGGGGCCGGGAGATGGAGAGGCCAGGGCCAGGAGGTGAGGGAGGGGAGGGCCAGGTGCAGGAGGTGGGGTTTGGGAGATTGGGGTAAGGGGCCAGGCGGGGGTGGGGGCTGGGAGATGGAGGTGGGGAGGGGGGCGGCTCGGAGGAAGGGGGCAGGTAGGGAATGGGAGGTGGAGCTTGTGCAGGGTGGGGGAGAGGGGTGCTGGGCGATGGGGAGAGGGGTGCTGGGCGATGGGGTGAGGGGCAGGGGCCCAGAGATAGGGGGGCTTGGGTGTGTGAAGGGGATCAGGAGGTAGGGGGAAGCAGGCAAGGTGGGAGCCAGTGACTGGGGTGTGGGCGGGGTGGGGGAGGCCAATCGAGGGGGAGGGGGCGGCTAATGCGGCACCGGGCACGGTGGGAAGGGCCTTTGAAGGGCACGGAGGAGTCAGCTTGGGGTGCAAGAGAGGAAAAGTGGGGAACCAAGACAGCTGGGCTGGTTGCGGCACCACCTGGGCCAGTGCGTGGGGAGACAGCCTGGGTGGGATGAGATGGGCACTGGGCAAGTCCTACGAGATGGGGCCTTAACCGGGTCCCCACCAGCCACATCACGATGCCTTTCCTGTCGCCCATGGAAGCGGAGCTAGCCCGCAGGATCCTGGCCCGGGATGCCGCACCGCTCCCCCGACCAGGGGAGGTTCGGAAGGATTTCACCGTGTCCGGCAACCTACTGGTTATGTCAGTTCGGGACTAAGACAGGGACAGGGCTGGGCTGACGACGGTGGCGGGGTGGGGACTGGGATCCGCCTCCCCCGAGGGTCAGGAAGCTAGAGACCTGGGAACACCCAAGCACAGGGTCTCAGAACAGAGACCTGGTGCACCAGGCCCACCGCCACCCGAGGGAGCGAGGGGAGATGGGTGCAGAGCTGTCGCCTTTAACGTGATGTTCTTTGCCCCTCGCGTTTAGCCGACTGGCTGCTGCAGATCCGCGCCAACTCCAGGTCTCCATCGGCTCCTGTCTCCAGCAGCTTTCCCTGTTGATGTGGATCATGCAGAGCTTTGTGCCCGTGTTTTTGGCTCTGCTTTCCTCAGGACAGAGGGGCTAAGCCCAGCCTGGCGCCCCTTCCTAGGTCGTGCGTCCTCCCCTGGGGAAGGTCCCTGCACGAGTGGCCACTTCATTGTGGGGGCCTGATTGTTTGTCTGTCGCTGGAGGAGGGTGGTTTACATGTTTGTTTCTGCAGAAAATAAAACTGAGCTCCTATTCCCTGTCTGCGTCTCTTTTCAGCGAGCGAAGGCACCTGCAGATGTTGATGCCTTTGTCCTCGGGTTGCAGGGGAGGCTCTGGGATTCAGAGATTCAAGTAGCACAAGGTAATGGAAGACAATTTGGGAAATAGGGGAACATGAAAAGCGACTGGGTCCCGCCATTCAGCATTAACTACTGTGGACACTTTAGAATATTTTCCTCATCATATACTTGCATTTATGTGTTAACTACATGACAGTAGCATATATAATGGTCTTCCAGCTCAGCATTGAATTTTTTTCCCAAATTGTTTTCATTGAACATGTGAGCTTCTGTGCCTTCCAAAAATTCTTCAAAAACACATACTTGAATAGATGCACAAAACCAGCATTATCATTTCACCGTTAAGCATGCGATATGGGCCGGGCATGGTGGCCCTCACCTGTATTGTCAACACTCTAGGAGGCTGAGGTGGGAGGATGGCTTGAGACCTGGAGTTGGAGAATGCCCTGAGCAACGTAGTGAGAGTCTGTCTCTGTAAAAAAAACATTTGAAAATGAGGGGTGGAAGACGTGGTGGCAGGCACCTGTAGTCCCAGTGACTCGGGGGGCTGACGTGGGAGGATGTGTAGGGTACAGGATCTCGAGGCCGCGGTGAGCTGTGAATGCACCCCTGAGCTCCAGCCTGGGTGACAGAGCGAGACTCTGTCTCTAAAATAATTAGTAATAATAGTAATAATAAGTCATAGTAATAACAACTTAAAATGTGTGTAAACACGTCATGTTACAGGTTCATGCTCTCACCACTTGTGGAGTCCCAATTAACAAGAGCGAGGTCTGGTATAAAGAAACGGACTTTAGGCCATGATTGGTTTAGGGGAAGATGCACAGGCTCCTGCCTTTAAGGGCTCTGCTTCCCTCTGGGGGCAGAAAGCAGGGCCTTTTAAAGGGGGACTTGGAATGAATACCATACAGCGGAGGGGGCAGGCAGCTGCGGGGTCTCCGTCACATGCTGAGGTGCCTCACCTCCCGGGTGGGGTGTCGTGAGCAGAGCTAGGTTGGAAAGGGGCTGTTGTTTGTCAAGGTGAAAGAGACATGTTCTTGAGCTGCGTTCTGGTATGCTCTTCCGTTGCTTGGAAACAGTGTGATCCCTTTGAGTCTTGCTTTCAGGATTTACTCAGTGGGACCAGAGCAGATTTCAGTGGAAGATTAATAGTATTACCTGACCACATCCAAGGCTCGGCAAGGCTGTAGTTGCAAACGAGGACTCATATGCTGTCGGTAGGAGAGGTAGTAACATCTATCTGGGCATTTATTTGGCATTTTCTATTAAAGGAACGATATGCATACCCTTCGACCCACCTCGAAGGGTCCATCCGAGGAACTTCTGCATATGCAGATGAGGTAGAATCCACCGGCCTCTTAATGACACCATCACGTAAATAACTTTTAGAATGTAAATGTCCATCAGCGGCGGAAAGGTTGAATAAATCACTGCACAACTGCCCCAGGGGAAAAGTGTCAGGAGGCTGGAGAGAGAGCATGGTAGATAGTTGGGTACTAGCATAGAGAGAGATTAAAACAAGTCACGAGATCTCTGCATCTAGGCTACGGCACACTCTTGTTTTGGCAGTGTGCTCCCGCCACGAGAGCACGCAGGGATGAGCACAGTAACTCCCTGGAAAGCCGCCTCCACTCTCAAGAGTGCTCACCGCTGGACAACAGCGTCAGGGAAATAAAACGTTCACCTTTGAAATCTCAGACTTCCATGTTTAAATATTTTCATCAGGCCTGTATTACTTTGGGGATACATGTTTTTACTTTGGAAAAGAAGAGTCTGTTCAAATAAGAAATCATCTCTCCTAGTCCTGTTCTTTTAAAACATTGGGAATGGATTTTGTGTGTGTTGAAACATCTGTGTCACGGCAGAGGGCGTCTGTTGGTTTTGTCCCCCAACCTCTGTTCCCCTGTACCCGTGTCCATATTTCCCCTAGAACCACTCCCTCCATTTCCCTTCAGCAATTCTGATTCTGCTGGAGTCTACTTCGCCCCAGATTTCAGGGGTGGGCATGACGCTCAGGCCTGGTTAAGTGGAGCACTGCATTCCTCTGGCCATGGTGATCCCAGCCAAACCAGTGACACTTTTGGGGCTGCAGGGGGATAAGCTGGCAATGGACAGCAGAGAAGCAGGAACAGGAAGGCTGATCTGAGAGAACCAAATCCTGGATCCAGCCGTGCCTGAAGCTGGGAACTGCCCTTGGACCTTTCCGTTACACAGACTCAGAAGTTCTCCCTTCGGCTTAAGTCGATTGGGAGATTTTTGATTGTTGTTCTTTCATTTTTTTTCCATGTGCAATGGAAAAGTCTTGACTATCAGGGAATTGGGGAACCACAGATTTATTTCTTATGTAACCTTCTACTGTGATCTGAGGCCTAGGCCCTCGTTTGCTTCCTGGAAGGAACAGACATGTTTTCTTGCTAGGGGATCGATATGGTTCGGATATGTTTGTCCCCTGCAAATGTGGTCCTCAGTGTTGGAGGTGGGGCCTAATGGGAGGTGATTGGGTCATGGCCGGGGGTGGGGGGATGCCTTTCAAACAGCTCAGTAAAGCCATCCTCAGGGTAATGAGTGAGTTGTCACTCTCTGGGTTCCCACAAAATCCGATGGTTGAGAAGATCCTGGCATCTCCCTCCCCCCCCCCCCCCCCCCCCCCCCCCCCTCCCCCCCCCCCTCCTCCTCCCCCCCCCCTCCCCCTCCTCCTCCCCCCCCCCTCCTCCTCCTCCTCCTCTCCCTCCTCCTCCTCCTCCTTCTCTCTCTCTCTGTCCCTCTGTCTCTCCCTCTGTCTGTCTCTCCCTCTCTCTCTTTTCTCTGTGAAGCCACTCTCTGCCACCTCCCGCCAGGAATAGATGCCGTCTGAGGTCCTCACCAGAAGCAGATGCTGGCACCACCCCTCTTACTGCCTGCAGAACTATGAGCCAATAAAACTTTTAATGAATTTCTCAGCATCAGGGATTATTCTACTGGGACCAGCCCTTTCGAGATAGTGCTCCCCAACCCGATCCAGCAGTGTGGTCTTCAGTCACCCAGAGCATGAGTCTTTAGTCTTATTCCCCCTGCTCCTCTGCGTCAGCACGTCTGCCCCAACACGGGCCTGGTACAGCCAGTCACCCTAGCCCCACAGCTGGATGGCTAGAGCCGACAGCTTTTTTTTTTTCCTTTTTTTTTTTTTTTTCTCACTGTCTTGATCAAGTTATAGAGCTGGAAGCTTTTTAAACCAAGTCAGGTGGCCTCAGTCCTCTGCTCCAAGCTGTCCAGTGGGCTCCCCTCACTCGCAGTGAAAGGCAGAGCCCTGTCGGCGGCCTGCAGACCCAACATGATCAAGTCTTTCCTCTCTGGCCTCCTCCCACCTCCCACACTCCCCGCTGCTCATGCTGATGCAGCCACTCAGGGCCCCTGGCCCTTTCTGAAACACACCATGCCCACTTCTGCCTCAGGGACTTTGCACTGGCTTTCTCCTGTCGGGAACTCTCTTTCTCCAGCGTTACCCACAATTGTCACCCTCTCAGAGAGGCTTTTCTAACCAGCCTCCTTAATACTGCATCCTGCCTCCCCTGCCTGCCGTCTGGTCCTGCCTGCCACTCCCTCCACTTTCAGGTCCCAGGTGTGCTGGAGACATCCCGCCCAGGGTGACCTTCCCCATGACACCCACTTCAGGCCTTAGGCCGGGGCCCCAGGCTTCAGCCAACTGCTTACCTGGACAGGAGGGTGTCTCAGGACTGAGAAGCTCCCTCCTCACTGATTCCACACCCTTAGCTGTCACTGGGCACGAGGCTGATGATCTTCCAGCTTCTATCACCAAGAAGCATTTCATTCCAGAGCCATGAGAATCTGAGACAGAGGGGTCCCTGGAGCTGGACTCTGTGGGCGGGAGGGGGCAGCTCCTCCTGTGCAAAACCCCCACTTCCCAGCTGGGCTCTTCCCTCCCACATGCCTCACCCTTCCATCCTCCCCTGCAGCCCCTGTACAAACCCACCAGTTTCTCCTCAACCCCAAATGCTCCTCCAGTGACAGCACTTTCTTCTCCTCCTCTCCACAGCTAGAGGGTGGCCCCTCCCAAAAGTGGTCTGGACTCTGGACTCACCGTTCCTCATCCCTCCTCGCCATTCCTTCCTAGCCCAGTCATCTGAGCTGTTCCTCTAACAAACCAGAGAAAAAGAGAAAGCTAGCCCAAACAAGCAGAATGAGGACCTAATAAATCACAAAGCAGACCTCAGTGAAAGGCTAGCAAAGAATGCTATTAACAACTCTGTGACAATAAATTCAGTGACTCAGATGAAATGTATAATTTCCTTGAAAGACACGTATTACCAAAACTGATACAAGAAAAAAAAGTTTTATATCAATTACCCATATAAACTTAAAATCAAAACCTTCCCACAAAGAAAACTCCAGGCTGGATGCCATATTGGTTAATGAATCAAACATTTAAGAAAGAAATTGTGGCTCTGTGAGGTGGCTTATACCTGCAATCCCAGCACTTTGGGTGGCCAAGGTGGGAGGACTGCTTGAGCCTAGGAGTTTGAGACCAGCCTGGGCAACATGGTGATATCTCATCTCTGCTGAAAATAAAAAAACATTAGCCAGACTTTCACCAAGATGTCGAAATAGGAACAGCTCCGGAGTGCAGTTCCCAGTGAGAGAGATTCAGAAGGCAAGTAATATCCGCATTTCCAACTGAGGTACCAGGTTCATTTCAATGGGACTGGTTGGACAATGGGTATAGCCCAAGGAGGGCAAACCAACACAAGGTGGGCAGCTGCCCCACCCCAGAAGTGCAACTGACTGGAGGATCAGGGGCTTTATTTTTTTTATTTTTATTTTATTTTGTTATTAGATTCAGTAATTTGGATTTTTTTTTTTTTTGAAAACAATTAAAGTTGACCTTGGCAAACATTTATTTACAATAGCTTGCTTTACTGTAATAACACAGTATATAATTGTTACTGGTAAAGCTTCCATT